TAGTTAGCATAGCCATCAACAATGGCTTGCAAATAACATAAATAGGGTTTCTGTTCGTCCAAGGGCATTCTGGTAATTTAGGTTTCTTCTGGGCTTCAGTTGGTCATGAAATATACTCGGCCCGCATTCTGGCATCCATATCGATATGAGGTGGGGAATAACTTCTGATCTAACCGTTGGATGGACCTCAAACCGGTGGCATTGGAAAGCTAAATAAAATCTCTATAGTGTGTCAAAAGATCAGCTAAATCGCACCATGGGAATGTCTCCATCCATATCAAAATATATGACGCGTCTGCGCAGTTCTGCACTTAAAGGCTCCAAAAGACACCAAAATCACCATATTTCTCCAGAACGTACCTGAACCTGTAAATACTCTAAATAGACTCCAAAACATATATAATTATCATAAAAACATATCGATACCATGACTAAAAGTGGGTCAAAATCATGGTATATCAAATGATGATCGGGATTTTAAAAATAAAGAATTTTTGTCAAGTATAAATAAATGTGACTATTTGTAAATACACTTTATTAATACTGAATAATTAAAATTTTTGTCTAAAATTTTGATTTCCCGTGCAAACGCGCAGTTTTGTTTGCAAGTATGTATAACAACAAACACAAATTATAGGTACTCACTTGGGTTTCCAGGTTGGTTTCTTCGTTTCGTGGGTGGTGGTGCTGAAACAACGGTGGTGGGTTTCCAGGTTGGATCATCTTCATTGATGTCTCTTTACAGTTAAAGTTGTTTGCTCCAGTGGCGAGGAGGGTGAAAGACTGTGTGTACAATAAAAGACATCTTCTTAGGATATGCTTTTGCTTACTCTACACATAAATTACAAGAACATATATAAACTCAAAGGTATTAAGAGGATGATGAAGAAGCGCATTGTATGTAAAATATACAGTAAACGTGCAAATAAACACACCTCAAAGGAAAAGACAATTACCTCTATGTTTTTCTCTCTTAAAGTATATTTAAATCAATAAATTAAACATTTGTGTAAAAATAATATTTTTAAATCGATTTGGGGAGAAATAAATTTGAAATTTTTTAACTCAGAGAGATCATAGTTTGGCGGATATATGATGCTATACAATAGTTTTCATGGGAAATTAATATGATAGCCCTTAATAATTTAAATATATAAAAAAATACGCAGATAAATCTTCAACATTTTTTGGGTAAAAAACATTGGAGGTATTGGTCAGTGACATTTATATAGTAAACTAAAAAATTGTAGTAAGCAAATTTCTTCAGAAAAAATATATAGTTATAATTGAGTTTCAAACAAATACCCTTTAAACAAACTTTAGAGCATATTCAATCAAATCTTTAAAGTAGAGTTTTTAGGGAAAAAATAATTAGTGGACCCCACCAAAAGTTAAGAATTTAATCTTTAAATTCTCAAAATAAAGATTTTTTATTAGTGAATCATTGCACTATCTGCGGGACTTCACGACATGTATCGACCCGTAATTGGTTGATATTTCTTTTTTTCTTTTTTCTTTAATTTGAAAAAAAATAATTAAAAAATTGTAAAAATATTTTTTTCTAAAAAAGTTCAATGGAGTTCACCATTGGAGATGATCTTGCACAAACAAGATTTTAACATACTTTTAACAGACATATAGTACACAGACTGAATACATACGAGTTTGGACATAAAGACGGACAAACCCGTTTTAACATCCATATTCAACATTCATCAAAATTATAATGTTATTTTTTCTTTTGTTGTCGCCAAATTTTAACTTTACAACCCATATTTATCTCAAAAGTGGGCTTTATATATTGTTCAATTTACTCTATAAATGGTGATACCAAAAGTAAAAACATCTAACCATAGTATTTATCTCGATTTAGTTTTATGAGTTATCTACTTATTTATAAATCGTAATAAAAATTCAACATAAATAATAAATCTATGAATTAATTAAAAATAATAATCTAAATATAAAAATAATTCAAAATAAAAATTTCGTCAAACCAAATATACTTATTTCCCATGTAAAGTGCGAACCAATCCCAATGTCAATAGTAAGTAAATATAGATTTTTCTATTTCTTGAATAATGAATTCGAACTGAAAGGTATTACAGATATACATTATGTTTTAGTATTCTAAAGCTATTTTTTAGTTCAACCTATCTGGAAAAAATGTTATAAAGTATATAGAGGTAATAGTACCTATAGAAAAGTTAAAAGAGAACCTTTTTTTTGAAAAAAAAGAAATTTATAATTTACTAAGCTCTGCACATATAGAAGTTACACGAAGAATCGATGTCCATGATTCTCTTTAAACATACGATTATGTATATAACCAATGTGTTTTTCTTTTCTTCTTATTTCAATTGTAACATAAATGATTTAAAATATCTCAAAACCGTTAGCGTCAGATCGATGACTCTAAAAGTTAGTGTATGGGATTAAATAAGAAAATATTTACTTAATATATACAAGACTATTTCAAGCACTCACAACATATCAATGCCATAACTCTTTAATTTAGAAATAACTATTGTAGATAAGCAATTACCACATAAAATCCTTCAGCGCCTATAATTTTCTAAAAGACAAAAGTCTTTATCATACACATCTTTTGAAAATGCAAATTTAAAACGCAAACCACAAGATCATTAAAAAAAATAGTAACCTAGATCACAAGTAAACTATATCCCACCCGGAGGACAGACTTACCCTAATTGTCAATATTTTATCTTTTCTTTTTATTATGTATTTGAATGATGATCGAGATTTTTAAAATAAAGAATTTTTGTCAAGTATAAATAAATGTGACTATTTGTAAATACACTTTATTAATACTGAATAATTAAAATTTTTGTCTAAAAATTTGATTTCCCGTGCAAACGCGCAGATTTGTTTGCAAGTATATATAACAACAAACACAAATTATAGGTACTCACTTGGGTTTCCAGGTTGGTTTCTTCGTTTCGTGGGTGGTGGTGCTGAAACAACGGTGTTGGGTTGTTGGATCATCTTCATTGATGTCTCTTTACAGTTAAAGTTGTTTGCTCCAGTTGAGAGGAGGGGGAAAGACTGTGGGTACAATAAAAGACATCTTCTCAGGATATGCTTTTGCTTACTCTACACATAAACTACAAGAACATTTATAAACTCAAAGGTATTAAGAGGATGATGAAGAAGCGCATTGTATGTAAAATATACAGTAAACGTGCAAATAAACACACCTCAAAGAAAAAGACAATTACCTCTCTGTTTTTCTCTCTTAAAGTATATTTAAATCAATAAATTAAACATTTGTGCAAAATAATATTTTTAAATCGATTTGGGGAGAAATAAATTTGAAAATTTTAACTGAGAGAGATCTAAAACAAAATCATAGTTTGGCGGATATATGATGCTATACAATAGTTTTCATGGGAAATTAATACGACTGCCCTTAATAATTTAAATATATAAAAAATACGCAGATAAATCTTCAACTATTTTTGGGTAAAAAAATTGGATGTATTGGTCATTGACATTTATATAGTAAACTAAAAAATTTATAGTAAGCAAATTTCTTCAGAAAAAATAAAATAGTTTTAATTGAGTTTCAAAGAAATACCATTTAAACAAACTTTAGAGCATCTGCAATAAAATCTTTAAAGTAGAGTTTTTAAGGAAAAAATAATTAAATAATTAGTGGACCTCACAAAAAGTTAAGAATTCAATCTTTAAAATTTTTAAATAAAGATTTTTTATTAGTGAATCCTTGCACTATTTGGGGGACCTCACGACATGTATCAGCTCGTAATTGGTTGATATTTCTTTTTTTTTTCTTTTTTTCTTTAATTTGAAAATAAAATAATTAAAAAATTGTAAAAAACATTTTTTTCTAAAAATTTCAATGGAGATGATCCTGCACAAACAAGTTTTTACATACTTTTAACAGACATATAGTACACAGACTGAATACATACGAGTTTGGACATAAAGACGAACAAACCCGTTTTAACATCCATTTTCAACATTCATCAAAATTATTATGTTATTTTTTCTTTTGTTGTCGACAAATTTTAAATTTACAACCCATATTTATCTCAAAAGCAGTCTTTATATATTGTTCAATTTACTCTATAAATGGTGATACCAAAAGTAAAAACATCTAACCATAGTATTTATCTCGATTTAGTTTTATGAGTTATCTACTTATTTATAAATCGTAATAAAAATTCAATATAAATAATATATCTATAAATTAATTAAAAGTAATAATCTAAATGTGAAAATATGCTAAAGCATATAAAACATTTAAATATTAATTAAAATTATATGTTTGTCAGTAATCTATCACTCAAAAACTTACATTAAAAGTTGTAAAAAAAAAAACAAACATTAAATTCAAAGCCAAACTATATAATTAAAAATATTTTGTTTTATTGGTACCGTTAACTTTTATTTAGGAAAATCTCAACGGTAACTCCGAAATTAGCTAGTTAAAATAATTGAAATACAAACAAAACAATGTACCAAATCTTCAAATATTAATGAAATCTATAATATATATTTCCTTGTTTTGCCAACCAATTATAGGCACATTAAAATTTATTTCTGAAATTAACCCCTCTTAAGAATCTGACAAATGTCTTATCTAATCTACTCATATATGCAACGGATCTACATAAGAAAATGATGTCCATTAGTCCTTAATCTTATAGAAAATCTGGTGATTGTGTAATCTACTCCACTCATTTATACGTATATATATATAGACATGAGAAAGTAAAGCCTTGAGCTAGACATAAGTTGGAAGTGACAAAGATTTGTTTAATCGTATAGAGAGTGTAGACTAAGGTCTCGTCCTCAACATGTTATCACCTTTCTTTTAAAAATATTAGCTTTCCCTCTAACACACTGTTTGTTATACAGTCACGTCATTTTCTTCTTCTTCTTCTCCATAAGGATATTTTGTTATACTGAAATGGCGAATTTGTTTTGTGATAGGATAAGGTTTTGGGGAATCAGATATGACGCTCAAGAGAGCGAGCAGGCTCTTCTCTTCCTCGAAGAAGAAGGTCGACAGCGCCAACAGTCCGGCGAATGCGCCAAGTGAATCAGATAAGAAGAAACGGAGATCCGATTCGAAACGGATCTTTGGCTCGTTAATAGAGTTCACGAAGAAGCTTTGCAAACGAGCTTCTTCTGATCAAGTTCCCTTACGATCTTACTTGTCGTGTTCCTGTTATAAGGGGAAGAAACCAAGAGATGAAGCGTCTACCCTGTCTTCATCTCTTGGTTTGAATCAGATCAATACGAGGTCCCACTCCCACCAGGCGACGCTGGGCTCTTGCTTTAGTTTTAGGGATGATACAGCAAGACCGGTTAACCGGAATACTCGTCAGGACTCCGGTACGAATAGTGATGATCACATTACATATGCTAGGATCTGAAATTTTAGGGGTTATAAACATTTTTTTAAAGAATTTTAATGATAAAAATGTTTTTTTTTCTATAAAAACTGTGGAAATGTTGTTTTATGCAATCGTTGATATTTCACGTTTGATTTTGATGTTACTAAGCAGGTATATCACCTAGCGACTGTGGCACACCAGAGGTTAGTAGTCCTTTCCCCTTAGTCGTTAACATCATCAAACATTAAAGGGTTTGTGTTGTGACCATGGCCGGATATTGATATTGAGGACAGCCGAATGGAACATTGGTATTGTCCCCAAAACTGTTTGGAGACATTTTACATAGATCCTCAAATTATGAAATTTGTTTTTTTTTTAATTAAAATTCTTTAAAAAAGAAGTTTATGGCTCACAAAACCTGAGACCCGGTCCTGGTTCTGACATTATCTATCTTCGTAGAGTCCAAAGGAGTTAGAATCCCCTCATTTTCAAGCCTTACTTCAGATGACCAATGCTCCAAGAAGGATCTTTTCTGGTGACAATAAGAGCTTTTCTCATGAGTTGAACGCGGAAGGTGTAAGGCCTTTTCCATTAAGTAAGCTTCATAGGTCAAAGAGCTGGGAGGTATAGTCTTGATGATGTCCCTGTCTATGTTTTAACTTCATTTGTAATTTTGGTTATATTCAATCCTCTAATCGTCTCTCTTAAGCAGGAAGTATTTAATCTAATCAAGGCCAACTTTAATAAAGCAAAGGAAGAAGTGAATATCGAGCTTAAAATTTTTACTGAGTACCTGATTAGAATTTCTAAGGACAATGCGGAAAGTCTTCATGAGTTGAACGTCATAATTGGAGATTTGTTGATTTTGACACTGAAATGTATCAAAGTTACTACAGGAGAGTTCTGGAATCAGTGTGAGAGGATAGTACAAGAATTAAATGATAAATGGCGGGAGCTTCCCCAGGGTGTTCCCAAGCAGCTTCACACTCACTTGCTTTATATTCTTATTAGATGTACCAGATTACTTCAGTTTCGTAAGGAAAGTTGGGGGCAGAAAGAAGAGTTCGTACAACTAAGTAAGTCAGGACCTCTCTCTTATCCGTACAATGAAACTTATTGGAATAGAGTTCCATCTCTAGTGTGGAAGAGCAAAGTTAAGGTGGCTGAAAATCGAGTAGCTACCAGTGAAAAAAAAATAATTATTTGTCGTATATGCGAGGAAAATGTTCCCACCACCCACGTGGAAGATCACTCAAAAATATGTTTATTGGCGGAAAAATATGAGCACAAGGGTGTGAGTGTTAATGTGCGGCTGGAGAAAGTTGCTTTAACCCTTGATGATATCATTAAGAACATTGGTCTTGCAGCGGTTGAAAGCCCTGCACCCGATCCATTCCATGAAGGGTCTGATATTCCACAGGTAGGTCGTGGTACTGCTCAATGATCATACTTTTCCTAGTCTTTTTTGTTATTGAATATGCTGGCTGACGAATCACCTTGGACAATTGATGATGCAGATGCTTGCACTTGCCTACATTGCAAGACAAGCAGCAAATGCCATATCAGATGATGATCAATCCATGAAGACCTGTCTTCATAACTTGAGGCTTACCATAGACCAGAGAAAGTTTGATGCGCTTACAGTGGAAACTTTTGGGATACGCATAGAAAAGTTGATACGGTGAGTTCTTAAAATATATTATTGGGCTTTCTGCCCATGCTGTCTTTGCAAGTGTTACCGGAAATGAATCTATATATATACTCTTATCAGCTGACGCAAAATATTAAAAGAACATTTTTATTTGTTATGCAGGGAGAAGTATTCTCAGCTGAACGAGATTGTGGATGATGAAAAAGTTGACTTATCAAGCACCGAAATTGATGAAGATGTTGTTTTGAAAGATGATGTTGAACGCAGTTTGAGGACCAGATCGGTACGTCTGCGGGACCGCATATCCATAGATGATTTTGAGGAGATAAAAGAAATTAGTAGAGGAGCTTTTGGGAGAGTTGTTTTGGCTAAAAAGAGAACAACAGGAGACATATTTGCAATTAAGGTATTTATATTTCAATTCGCTTTGCTTCTGCTACTCTTGCGAGCATGTCCAATGGGAGCTTTTCCCATTAGGATTCTTAATGGAGTATGTAAATATATATGTATGTATATATTATATATGTATAAGTAATTGTGGGGTTTACAATTTTTGTAGAACTCCATAGATAAGGGTTATTAAAAGAAGGTATTTGTTTTTTTTATTGTTTCGATTTTTGTAGAACTCCATAGGTAAGGGTTATTAAAAGAAGGTATTTGTTATTTTATTGTTTCGATTTAGTTATTTCGGGTATAATATCAGTCAAAGTTTCTTTTGTAAAATCTTGTAACTGTGGGCTTACATACTCCTTAGGTTCTGAAGAAGACAGATATGATCCGCAAGGATGCTGTTAAAAGTATAATTGCTGAACGAAATATTTTGATCAAAATCCAGAATCCCCTTGTGGTAAGCTACTCCATAACATTTTCTAGCATGTTTTTTTCCTCCGCAGAGTTTCCCTTATTTCTAACGTAACCTTCTTTTTGACCAGGTTCGCTTCTACTATTCTTTTACTTCTCGCGAAAACCTGTATCTTGTGATGGAGTACGTGAAAGGGGGTGATTTTTATTCATTGTTGAAAAATCTGAATTGCATTCATGAAACTAATGCCCGTAAATACATCGCCGAAGTTGTAAGTGTGTAATGCTCACAGATCATATTTAACAAGAAATTTATCAAGAATGATTCAATGTCAGGTCCTAGCTTTGGAATATTTACACTCTGAGGGTGTTGTGCATCGTGATTTGAAACCTGATAATATATTGGTTGCAGATGATGGTCATGTTAAGGTAATTAATAGCGCCATTTTAGAAACTTTATATAGAGTATTATCAGGCTTCGGAATGTTTAGTTGACTTCATGCACTGTGATGCTCTAGAGCTTAAAACCTTTCGTTATATCTGAAGCTCATAAAACCCGCACAGAGAATTAGCCGCTGCAGTTGTGACTGTAAATATAATATTAGAACCATGCTTTCCTGTAGACCTTATGGTACCATTTTGTTTCATATGAGCAGTTGATAGATTTTGGGCTCTCCAAAGTTGGTCTCATCGATAGCACCGGTGATCTCTCTGGTCCAAAATTGCCAACATCGGAGCATAAGATTAAAAGGCAAGATAAGCGGTCTGCGAGGGGCACTCCTGACTACTTGGCTCCAGAAATTCTTCGGGGGACAGGGCATGGTACACACACTTTCTTCTAATCTTTTCTTTTCGCTTGTCTCTATTATTGTAGACTTATTTTGAGCAGAAATTGGTGTTAAGTTGAAACTAAAATGATTAGTCCTGGGTTGGGATTGTTAATCTGAATAATAAACATGCTCTAAGTCTGTAAAGATTGATATACTTTTACATATCAACTCTTGTTCACACAAGAAGTAGATAGAAAATTTAAGCTAAAGCTTCCTTTTAACCCTAAGCGCTCTTGGAGATAGGTTAATTCTTGAAATCTTTATATAAGAATACAATCAAATAGAAAAAGGAAAATGGTTAAACCTAATATAGAAAGAAAAACTTCAAAACAGTTATTAAATGGAAAATTACCAAAACTCAGAATATAAAATATCCTAATAAACCCTAACCGTGGTCACATATCAAACTGTTCAGGTGCAACTGCGGATTGGTGGTCTGTTGGCATCATTTTGTTTGAATTCATTGTGGGGATTCCGCCATTCAATGCTGATAATCCTGAGGTTAGTGATTTGATATTGCATCGTTCTTGTAAATAGTTTTGGTAGAGGAGATAGAGGTTTCTCAAGATTCATCAAATGCCGTGTATTTTTTTTTTTTTTGGTATTGACCTCTTATCTTTGTACTATTTTTTATTTCACATTTTGACAGTATTTTATATATCTTGTTCACTCTCCAACTCCCTGATATTTGATCTGCATCTTCGTTGTTGGATTCTAGAAAATATTTGACAATATTCTCAAGCGGGACATACCATGGCCTAGTGATCCAGAGGAGATGACCATTGAAGCCCGTGATTTGATAAATCGGTTAGTGACTTTTCTTTACTTCCAATCATATGCATTGTGAAAATAGTCCTTAATTTGTGAGTATCTCTGTTGTAAACATCAATAAGCAACCCGCTTTTCTTAATTTATGAACTATACGTATATTCCCATAAGGATCCAAGTAAAATGCCTATTCTGATCATGTTTGGTTCAATATCAGCTTATAACCAAATTGAAAAGAAGGCAGGACTATTTATTATTTCCTGTAACATTGTGTCATGTGCTTTATCCAGGTTATTAGCGGAAGATCCTCATCAGAGACTTGGAGCTAGAGGGGCAGCTGAGGTGACACTGATTTTTTTTTCTTGAAAGACAGTCCAGTTTTTTCTCCTAAAGTTTTGTGTAGTGATGACGCAAATATCATTCCACAGGTAAAGCAGCACATCTTCTTTAAAGGCATAAATTGGGACACTCTACCAGAGCAGAAGGTGAATTCATTTATCTTTTTTTTTGCTTTTAAAGTCGTAACTCCTTTATCATCTCTTTTCTTTTGTTGCTTGATTTCCTAGGTTGAATTTGTGCCGCATACAGAAGATGCTCTTGACACAAGTTACTTCCTAAGTCGCTACCCTTCGGATAAGCGATCTTCTCCAACCAATGACAATGAGAATGGAAAGTCTTGTGAAAGTAGCCGTGGTAGCAATGATCACAACTATGTGGTACTGTTTGATGATCCACTCCCCATTCCTCCTAGAAATATTGGTGTTAACTTTTATAGACGTGTGATGTCCCTAAATGGGATCAATATTGATGGTATATGCAGGTTGATGAACGTGGGGGACCTGCGGAGTTGGAAACTAATGTTTCTGAAAATAACCCATTCGATAACTTTTCCTACAAGGTACTTTATGTTTCCTCCGAATATCCCTTGTCATCCTAGTATAAGATTAATCAGTTAGAAGTTCACTTGCAAGTTTCGTTCTGGTTTGATATCTAAACATAGGTTGTTAGCTTTATCGACTAACAGAATCCTCCTACTGGAGATTATGAACTTGTGTGTTCTGTCTCCACCCAATTCAAGTGAAGAAGTGTTATTTAGTTGTTTAATTTTGGGATATGATTTTGAGTAAACCCTTATGAAGTGGTGTGCTTATAAGAAAATCAATTATATAACATTCTGACTTTTGCTCTTTTTTTACGGTTTGTAGAACCTCAGTCAGCTGGCCAGTATCAATTATCATTTGGTGTCCAAAGGTTAGAAACATGGAACATCAACAACTTTGTCTCCAAGACAACAAACAATCTAATGTTACTTATGATTTTCCGTACATGTAAGTCAGTTTCTTTTCTGGTTACTAATAAATTTGTTTTTGAGTTTTACTCTTTCTGATGCATCGCGTTACAATATTTGCAGAGACAGATAGACAAAAAGGAAGATGAATATTGAAACTTATTTGGCAGCATAACTCAGCAGCAGTTGCGGTTAATAGTGTTTGCGTTCTGTAGCTCTTTAATACTATATTGTATTTGCGGAAACTGATATGGACATTAATTGTTTAAGGCTTTACCGTTCCCACCTCCATAGAAAGGGTTGTGAAATTGAAAGCATGAAGGCCCAGACGTCACTAAATCCCAACGTGCATTGGCTCAAGACACCAACGGCTCTCTCAATTCAAGTCACAAGACGACAGAGAAGGAAAAACAGAAGAGTGAGAAGAGGAGGACAGGCTGTGCAAAGGAGGTGAGACAAACCGTACTATGCAACAGGTTTAATACCTTGTTATCAGTAGAGAGTGGTTAGATGTGTGACAGATGTAATCAGATCCTGAGAGATCAATTAGGGTTTAGTATATGTCTCTCTCTATATAAAGAGTGTGGAGTATTGTAAAGAAACTTAAGATTGAAGTAAAAGTATTTTCTCAAAGTCTCAGTCTTTCTCATTTATTCATATGGTATCAGAGCTTTTCTAAACCTTCACAGGTGCTGTCATGGCGGAAAGGAACGATCCATATCCATTCCCAACGGGTGTTCACATCACACATGCTGTTACAATCAAGTTGAACGACAAAAACTATATTCTCTGGAAAACCCAGATTGAATCTCTTCTCCGCTCTCAGAAGCTCCTTGGTTTTGCTACCGGTCAGGTACCAGCTCCTGCTCTCACCGTCGTCAATACTGTCAACGATGTCCCCGTTGAAACTCCGAATCCAGACCATGAAGCCTGGATCTGTACGGATGAGTTAGTCAAGTCTTGGATTTTTGGAACCCTGTCAGAGGAGGTTCTCGGTCTTGTTCATGCCCTCTCTACGTCTCAAGAAGTGTGGCATGCTCTTGCATCTCACTACAACAAAAGTACTCTTGCTCGTGAGTTTGAGCTAAGGCGTCGTCTCCAACTCCTTTCTGTGAAAGGTAAAACCTTTGATGTTTATTGTCGAGAGTTCAGGAACCTGTGTGACAATCTGAGCTCTATTGGTAAATCTATGGATGAAAGCATGAAGATTTTACTTTTCTGAATGGTTTGAGCCGTGAATATGATCCTATTACAACGGTTATTCAGAGCTCTCTGTCTAGACTTCCGACACCAACGTTCAATGACGTGGTCCTTGAGATCTCTGCCTTTGATGCAAAGCTGCAATCTTATGAAGCAGCCCCAGAAGTTAGTCCTCATCTTGCCTTTCAGACACAACGTTCTCGATACTCTAACAGCGGTGGAAACATAGGACGTGGTGGCTCATACGGTCGGTTTGGTAACAATAGAGGTCGCGGTGGCTTCTCTACCCGAGGACGAGGGTTTACCCAGCAAGTCAACACATCTGGTTGGAACCAATCTCAGAATGCTCAGTCTGGTAACACACGTCCTGTGTGTCAAATTTGTGGACGTGTTGGTCATGTTGCTCTGAAGTGCTGGAACAGATTTGACACTGCATATCAGAGTAATGATACTCCTCAGGCACTCACTGCACTTCAGACTTCAGATTCTAGCGGTCGTGAATGGCTTGCTGACTCGGGTGCTACTGCTCATATGACTCCTTCAACCACCAACCTACAGAACATAACTCCTTACAATGGACAAGAGACGGTTATGGTTGCAGATGGAACATACCTCCCTATCACACATGTTGGATCCACTACCTTAAACTCCACGGCAGGTAGTATCCCTCTCTCTGATGTTCTTGTGTGTCCATCTATGCAGCAGTCATTATTATCTGTTTCTAAATTGTGTGATGACTTCCCCTGTGGGGTGTATTTTGATGCTAATGCTGTCTCTGTGATCGACTTAAAAACTCAAAAGGTAGTGACAAGAGGGACACGTCGTAAGAAACTGTATGTGTTGGAGCAACCAGAGTTTGTAGCATATTACTCAAATCGACAGACTGGTGCAAGTGATATGGTGTGGCATCAGCGTCTTGGTCATGCAAACTCTCAAGTTCTCCAACTCCTCAAAACCAGCAAGGCAATATCAATCAATAAGATCAGCACTACTTCCGTCTGTGAACCTTGCCAGATGGGAAAGAGTTCTCAACTTCCTTTTTTTTTTATTCTGTTTCTAGTGTAATGGAACCACTTGATCGAATACATTGTGATTTATGGGGTCCTTCTCCAGTTGTATCGGTTCAAGGATTCAAATATTATGCTGTTTTTGTGGACAACTATTCTCGATATTCATGGATCTTTCCTCTAAAACTGAAGTCTGATTTCTATGATGTCTTTATTGGATTTCAAAAACAAATCGAGAATCAGTTAAGTAAGAAGATAAAGGTGTTTCAAAGTGATGGTGGAGGTGAGTTTATGAGCACACGGTTCCGAGCACATCTACAGAATCATGGCATTCAACACCTCATTTCATGTCCTTCAACGCCTCAACAGAACGGCATATCAGAACGGAAGCATCGTCATTTGACTGAACTGGCTTTGTCTATGTTGTTCCAGAGCAAGGTTCCCTTGCGTTTTTGGGTTGAAGCTTTCTACTCAGCAAACTTCATCACCAATATACTTCCATCCCCGTCATTGAAAAACAAGAGTCCTTCAGAGCTTCTGCTAAAGAAAGCTCCTGACTACAGCTTCCTTCGTATCTTTGGGTCTGCTTGCTATCCTTGCTTAAGACCGTTCACTCAACATAAGTTTGAACCTCGCTCTCTGCAGTGTGTTTTCTTGGGGTATCATCCTCAATATAAGGGATATCGATGTCTTTATCCTCCCACATGACGGGTATACATAAACCGTCATGTTATTTTTGATGAATCATGTTTTCCCTTCATGAATAAGTATCAACACCTAGTGGTTCAACAGAAAACCGGTCTTATGGGTGCTTGGCAAGCTGCGGATCCTCCTAAGCTGCAGACATTACCAACTATTTCTTCCCTATATCGTGTAACTCCATCTGCTACTGGTACACAAGACGTGGTTACTGAATATCCTATTGAAGACAATACGGTTGAAGCTGCTCAAGAAGAGATAAGTACACAGGATGAAGAGATTGAGGTGAGACCTGAGACTACTGCAGTAGAAACAGTTCTGAGTGAAGAAGAAGTTACTGCAAGACCTGATTTCTTGTCTGCTACAGAAGAACGTGGACAAGTAACTGAAGGACAAGGACACTCTATGAGAACGAGATCCAAGTCTGGTATTAGCAAACCAAACCCGAGATATGCTCTTATTGCTAGTACTACCATTCCCAAAAACTGTGACAGAGGCTCTAAATCATCCAGGGTGGCGTCAAGCTATGCTTGATGAGTTGGAGTCTATCTTCGTGAATCACACATGGTCTTTGGTTCCTCCTCAAGAAGCTATGAATGTTTTGGGATGTCGTTGGGTGTTTACTGTAAAACTGAATGCAGATGGAACATTACAGAAGCTCAAAGCGCGTCTGGTGGCTAAGGGATTCAATCAAGAGGAAGGTGTTGATTTCAATGAGACTGACAGTCCAGTTGTTAGGACATCCACCATCAGGATTGTGCTTACTGTAGCCACTGCAAAACAATGGAACATAACTCAGCTTGATGTGAAAAATGCCTTTTTACATGGTGATTTACATGAGCAGGTATATATGTTACAACCTCCTGGATTTGAAGACCAAGCTCACCCTACTCATGTATGCGCTCTACATAAGGCACTATATGGCCTCAAGCAGGCTCCACGAGCATGGTTCAACAAGTTTAGTAACTTCCTTCTTGAATATGGATTTGTATGCAGCAAAGCAGATCCTTCTCTCTTCGTCTACCGTCACAATGGAGATACATTGGTGCTGTTGCTATATGTTGATGATATTCTGTTGACAGGATCAAATCCAGCCTTATTCAAATCATTGATTCTTGAATTAAGCAATCGGTTTGCCATGAAGGATCTAGGGAACTTTCATTATTTCTTGGGGATACAAGCTCAGCATCATCCAGCTGGATTATTTATTCATCAAACAAAGTATACAGAAGAGATTCTTCATAGCGCTGGTATGTCAACATGCAATCCGATTCATACTCCACTTCCCCTGCGGCTGGATCATGTGTTTCAAGACACAAAACCGTTTGATCAACCATTCTATTTCCGGAGTCTTGCGGGTAAGCTTCAGTACTTGACTATTACACGCCCTGACATACAATATGCTGTGAATTTTGTATGTCAAAGGATGCACTCACCGACTGAAGCAGACTTTGGTTTGTTGAAGAGAATTCTGCGTTATCTCAGAGGAACTTCAACAATGGGATTGTTTCTATCTAAGAATAGTGGTCTGGAAGTGATTTCATATAGCGATAGCGACTGGGTAGGGTGTCGCGACACTAGAAGATCAACAACTGGGTTCAGTGTGCTCCTTGGCTCAAATGTTATCTCTTGGTCAGCTAAAAGACAACCTACTGTTTCTCGTTCCTCGACTGAAGCAGAGTATAGAGCTCTAGCAACGACTGCATCTGAGCTTACTTGGGTCTCCTCTGTTCTTCGTGACCTTTGCGTGACTCAGACGAAACCTGCTGTTTTGCGGTGTGATAACTTATCTGCTGTTCATCTCTCAGCCAACCCTGTTCTTCACAACAGATCCAAACATTTTGATACCGATTATCATTACGTTCGAGAGAGAGTGGCTCTTGGTGTTCTTGAGGTTCAGCATGTTCCATCACAGTTTCAGCTTGCAGACATCTTTACAAAGTCACTTCCTCGCCAAGCCTATCAACGGCTCAGACATAAACTGAATGTGTGTGTTCCTCCCACACTCAGTTTACGAGGGAATGAAAGCATGAAGGCCCAGACTGTCACTAAAGCCCAACGTGCATTGGCCCAAGACACCAACGGCTCTCTCAATTCAAGTCACAAGACGACAGAGAAGGAAAAACAGAAGAGTGAGAAGAGGAGGACAAGCTGTGCAAAGGAGGTGAGACAAACCGTACTATGCAACAGGTTTAATACCTTGTTATCAGTAGAGAGTGGCTAGATGTGTGACAGATGTAATCAGATCCTGAGAGATCAATTAGGGTTTAGTATATGTCTCTCTCTATATAAAGAGTGTGGAGTATTGTAAAGAAACTTAAGATTGAAGTAAAAGTATTTTCTCAAAGTCTCAGTCTTTCTCATTTATTCATAGAAATGTGGTCTTAAGCAAATTTAGTAAATAAAGACTGTCTTAATTTTCTTAAATTTTTTGCCATGCGTCTTTCAAATATGTTCATAAGATTCTGAATGCCAGACGCCATTTACCAAAAATAAGCTATATGTATTACGAGAGTGCGGAATTTCAACATTTTTAAGCTATATGATTTCCATCAGGATGTGCTGTTTAGAGTTTTGATATGGAGAATTTCCAATATATGTGTG